AAAAAGGAAGTATCTCTGACCTCTAAACTGTAGTTTCAATTCTATGTCATGCTAAAATGATGAAAGGAACATTCCTCCTTCTTTGAAATGGCAAAGACTGAAGGCTGATCTTAGAACATACAATTTTGGAAACAACTGTAAAACAACCAGCACTCTCAAAATATAAAAAGCTATTTTGTGAAAAAATTCCTTAATTAGTCGAAACTGAGATGCTTGCTCTTGCTGTGCATAATGATTTGATCTGCGGAGAAGTGGGGTTCTCTTTGGTGATATAAATAGCATTAATTTTTAATGGTTCTTTAAGTGATAACATTTAACTAGCCTTTATGGATATTTCTTCACAGCACCTCACTGTATTTCCCATTAACCTCTCAAGGATCTTAATGTTTTCTTCCCAAGGTGTTCACCACTGTGCTTTATTATATACAATGGTCAAGTGTTAAATGGTTTGAAAAGAAATTATGCGACTTTTTGGAAAATAAGTTTATCTATTTAATTCCATTATCTTATAACCGTGACTAGGAACAAGGAAAAGACAGTAGAGAAACAAATCAGAGATGCTCACTTCCCTGACCACCCCAACCCTCTAAGCCAAGTGCTCACCGTCAACGGAGAAGGAAAGAAAAAAGAAGTATCCAAATGAAGGAAGTAGGAAAGATTACACTCAGTGACTATCAACTAATTAAATCTTAGCCTTAACAGATCCTGGACAACTTTGAAATGATGGGAGCTATAAGGAAATATATAGACCCTCCCTCCAGGTAAAAATGACCACGTACGGGCCCTCCCTAGTGGCGCAGCGGGCTAAAGCACATGTGGCACGAAGAAGCTAAAGCCACTTCAGCATGTGTAATCAGGTGAGTTCACTCCTCACCCCAGAGGTGATCCACATGGCACAGCAGACCTCTCCTGATCCGCCTGATGCTCCCCTCAGCAATGTACTTCATCAGTCTGCCTGTTCTGCTCCCCACTCTGTCTCTGGTGAATCCTCTCACGGCCCCTATGCCTCTGGCCTGTACCCCAGTTCTGTACGCATAAATAAATCAATCTTTCAAAAAAAAAAAAAATGACCACGTACACTTACCTTTTAGTTCCTATTTTCTGGGGGTGTTCTGTGGACCCCAAGTGAAGTCTGAAGATCTCACATGGAGACACTTGGGTAATTACTTCTACGCCATCACTAGTCAGGACAAAAGTGACTTTGCCTGGCTTCGAGATTTTACCATCACTGCTCCTTCCTGTGACACTCTTTCCACAAGAAATGTGTGGCAAAGTGACCATTTCGCCGGAAAAACAACTCAGTTTCCTCCCTGTAGTGCCAGCCAGGCACAGGGCAGGCTCTCTATGGATTCGGTAGAACGAGAGTCCTGGAGCCCTCGTGACTTTTTCAGGCTTTCAGGCTCTTTCCGCGCCAATTGTTGTGGGACACACGCGCGCGTGCAGGCGGCCTCGCGGTAACCGGAAGTGGCCGGGACTTCCCGCCCTCCCGCCATTAGCATCGATGATGGACACCTGTGCCTGCGGTCTTGCTGGTGCCTGATGGCGGCACCTGGGGCGTGGCGTGGACGTGCGTGACGGGTGCACCTGAGCCTGGAGGTGAGGCTGTGAGGGCAGCGACGCACAGAACAGAGTGGTGACCCTACGCAGGAGATGCCAGAAAAGAGACCACGAGAGAACATCTGAGAGCCCAGAAAGACTGAAAATTCTCCGGGGCTCGAAGGCCCGCCAGCCTCCTGTCCCCCCACCTGCCCTGCCCTGCACCCGTCTGCCCAGATCATAGAAAACCTGCTCCATGCCTGCTGGCACTTTACTGGCAACGCAGGGAGTGTGAGAGATGGCGGGAGGTCAAGACCTTTCTCCTTGGGCTCCCTCTGGCTTCCTCTGGTCTCTTCCTCGCTTAGTTGTTCTCTATGGCTGCTGCCCTTAACATCTTCAGCCTCCGGGCTCAGGGTGCTCACTTATGCATGCCCACACTATACTCCAGGTGTCCACCATCAGACCACGCTCTCACGAGCCTCCTGTGCTGGCACCATCAAAGCCGCAGGTGACAGCCTGATCAATCGTCATTTACCCTACACTCCCCTAGTTTTGGTGAGGGAGGTGAGTTCTGCTTTGCCACAAGCCTGTCTGAAAGGTAGTGCCACCACCCCCACCCCATCCCCCCCCCCCACACACACACACAAAGCCCTCCATATACAGGGCACACAGGAGAAATTTTAAGGAGGGGAGGGAAGTGCGTCTGCTTGGTAACAATTCTCCAGCCAGTTTGTTGTGAGTCTAAGGATGCTAACTGGCAAATGACTGGCAGTCATTCGTATTAGTGTTATGTCGTAGATATTTCACTTAACCCAAATTCTATTTCAGAATCTAGATATGATGAGTAGATCGGTATATGTGTGAAAGGAGGAAGAGATGGAGGGGGAGGAGGAAGAGATATGTGAGAGGGACTTTATTATCATACTATCTCTAGGGAAATAAATAGTTGAAAGTGAAGACAAGGTCAATTAGACCAACCTCTCCACTGATCAGAAACGCTGATCAGTAGTACATTTGTACTATTTCCTGGTTATCCTGAAGAAGGTGGAAATCTAGAGAAGTGAATCTAATACTTACGTGAGATCACTGTTCTCCTGGAAGCATCTGTTAATTATAAAAAAGCTTGTGCTGGCTGACCAAGCAGGACATTTGTTGACCCAGGACAGCGACAGAGGCTGGTACAAACACAGTTGTGGAGCCAGCTTCTGTAAAGTGCTACTCTAAGGATGAATTGCTAAAGGTAAAAGCCTGGAGTCCAGCTTCAGATCCTGGGATTCAGAGTATCTCAGATTTTTGCAACTGAATGAAAGAGATCTCAGCTTACTAATGACTTTGGATTCTTGGAAAAAGCAAAGGAAAATCCCTAAGAGAAAAAAGCTATAATATTTTAGGTATTTATAATATTTTACCTCTAGCCACATGGGTGACTTACCCAGTTATGCTGGGTTTATCCCATCTATATATAAAATATCATATATGTGACATTAAATTTCTTTTTCACATTTTCTTTTGTCAAAAATAATTAGCATGCTATGTTCCAAGAAATAAAAGCAGGATTGAACGTTTCAGCCCATAACTAGCAATATTTTTTAAAGGCAGAGCAGAATTGAAATAGAGGTGATAAAAGTTCTAAAACTGAAACTACAGTTACGGAAATTTTGAACACAAAGGATGGAATTTTACCAGATTAAACCTTGCTGAAGAGAGAAATTAAAAACTAAAAAATAAGCCAGAAGAAGGTATGCAGAATGATACCAAAAAAATACTGGAAATATAGAACTGATGGACTCCTGGAAAAATCACAGAGTAGTACAAAAGTAGTATGATAAGATATATTGGCTGAAATTCCAGTTTTCCAAAACTGATGTAAGAAATTGAGCCACAGATTGAAAATAAGATTAAATGAACTCTGCAAGAAAGAGAGAGGACTGCTTTTTTATAAGTCAAAGATGACTGCAAGCATCCAGCGCCAGCAAAAGAGTGATGAGATTGGGAACAGAAGAGGAAGAACAGACTCACTTTGGTCAGGAGGGGGCTGTGTGAAATAGAAATAGTTTTATTCCAATGCTCACCTGCGGATTTAATGTTCAGGCAGGGATGGCCAATATGCCACTATTTCATGAATTACTGTTATTTTTATTTTATATTCAAGTCTTCATGACTTTCACTCTGTCAAAAGGACCAGTCAACCCTTTATTGTCTCAGGATTCCAGCACCCTCAGTCAGAGTTCCTTCCTTTCCTGCCAGAATCCATAGTTTGCTTCTGACGGTAGGTCTACAAATGGATATTTGCTGCAAAATGAACAATGACTTGCAAACTGCCTGTCTGGTGTTCAAATTACCAGCTTGCTGCAGCCTTCATAGAGCAAAACCTATACCACCAAAATAATATTGTTTCTGGCTTTTATGACTATGAATGGCCCAGTGCTCTATTTAAAAAAATAATACAAGGATACTTTACAGATTTCCTACAGGTTTTGATTGATCAAAATGTGGGTTTTCTGGATGTGGCATTGCCCTTAATAATGATGTAAACACAATTTTCTGTCAAAATCTACATTTTTACCTTAAGAAATATTGAAGAACTTTAAAATTATTTGACTTTATTAACATGAAAAAAATTCCTGAATATCATAAATTTCTTACTTTTTTAACTTAGAAAGCAGCATGATGTCCATAATAAATACTGTAGTTAATGGATAAAAATGACACAGCATGCTTTCAACTGAAAAGCTCCCAAAAATGTTAAAAGATGATAATGATAACAGTAGCTAATATTTATGGAATGAACGTTTTCTACATGCCAAGAACTCTTCTAAAGGGTTCACATGGATTCTCTCACTAAAGATGTTTAGAGTTGTATGATAAAATAAATTATACCCCAATAACATTTAGAATATGGTTTATTGGACTCTGCAATTATTCTCAAAATTACTTTTTTTTTTTTTACAAAATACACTACAACTCTGCTGGTACAATTAGAGACCAGAAATATAGATGAGAAAATTTTTTTAAATAATAACCACTTTACTATAACAAGCTATAACTAAATCTGTAACTTTTCCCTCTATTTAATGTTTTCCTTCTGAAAGTAGAAATAAAATTTCAAAAACAATGAACAGGAAAATAATTTTATTTTGAAATAATGCTTTATCTGAGGGATGAGATTTTACTATATCTAGAGAGTATCCATGTTATTGCCTTATCAATTAAAGATGAAATTTTTAAAATTGTGTCTTAGTTGTTTGAGATGTTCTCATTCTAGTATTTCCTATGTAACGACCACTATCTTATTATAGTTTCCCTGAATACCAGTTTAAATATCAGTCACTAGGAATACTTTAATCATAATTTTGTATAATTTGATACAACTTCCTAATGTAATCATGGGGGAAATGGCTGAAGACATACATACTTTTTTAAACAGAAGACACTTTCAAAAAATTTTACCAAATAAAATGCATGAACCTACTTCTTCAATTACTGAATGAGTTAATGATTATATAAGTAAATTGGAGACATTCTTGATATTATGAGGGTTGGAATTTAATAGTCATGCCACTGTCTACTTCTCAACCATTTGAACCATCAGATACCTGGATATTTTACTATCTTCTCAGCTTTCACATTTTCTTTTTTAAAACCTATTTGAATCTCTCCTTTGGTTTGATGATCTTTTCCAAATCATGAATTCACAGAATCATTGACTCTCTGCTCATAGAAGACCTGAAGGGACTTGGAACGCTGCTGCTCCTTCTCTGTTAAATCTTCTCAGCCACATCAACCATTTGCTTCCCATCCCCCATGTCTCAAAACTGCACTCCATTTTCAGGTAGTTTTTCCTTTTTTAACTTAAAGATATCTTCCGTACCCTGAGGGGAAACATCTCCCCTCAACACTACTTTGGACCCTACTAATCTCAGCCTTGACCCTGGCAAGAGGACTTGGGCAAGACAATCTCTTGTTGCTTTAGTTTTTTTAGTTGTACAATCAGGTTAAGAAAAGTCACAGAGGGCTGGAGACAAATGAGAATGTCTAGAAAGCACCTGGCACCCCATGGGCTCTCCGAGAGTGGCCCTCTTCTACATGGCTGCCTCCAAAATGTAGTGCCGGCTAGTGCTTTCTCTCCTTCAGGCTAACTATACCCACTTCCTTCCATTTTTCTTGAGAAAACATGATACACCCACTCGTATCTTTTCAGTCATTCATTTCTGAAGACGTTCCATCCTTTATGAGAAGCATCAACTACCAATGAAAAGAATTACACTTACCCCCATTTTGACAATTTACAGCAAGTTCCATATGCACAGGCATCATTACAAGACATTTCTCTTTTCTCTAATGCTAATTAATCTGTCCCTGGATTCTGATGTCCCTATCTTTAACCCACTGGTGAGCCAGGCTATGGGGAAGGCAATGGGTATGGATACTTTCTAGCTCTAAGGTGAAGAGGCCATGGACGTGCCTTAGAATGCATCTGAGAAATTTCCCTCTTCATTCTGGTAGGAGCTCAGCTTTTCCTCCTCCTGGGATTCTTCCCTCTGCCCTCTCCATTCCTTTTGGACTTCACAATTCTGGGTGGTGGCTCCATAGGACATCTTCTTCTTGGGACTTGCAAAATTCTCATTCTCATGGTTGAGTTCCATTTCCTCAGCCAGTTCATCTTGGTCAATGATTCCACATTTCTCCTCAGAGAGATTCTCAGGGTCAGCCCAGTCCTGTTTCTCCCCAGAAGCAAAGACCCCATAGAAGATCACACCACTGTAGTGCACCAGGGCAGCTATCAGGAACACATTCTGCCATTCCTCTCGGGTCTAAGCAAAGAAAGAAATAGCCAACTTAATGCTTTAACAACAACAACAAAAAAAAAAACCCAGATATTAGGATCACCCTGGTGACGCAAGAGATTAAGTCTCAAGACTATGAAGCTATTGCCAGCCACTGAAAATTGAGTTCGATCCCCAGTCAGGGAGCTGACCCACATGGCACAACAGACCTCTCTTGTCTCGCCTGCTTCTCTTCTCAGCAGTGTGCTTCAGTAGATCCGCCTGTTCTGCTCCCCACTCTGTCTCTGGTGAATCCTCTCAATCCTGCCTACACCTCTGGCTTATACTCCAGATCTTCTATGCCCCCCAAATAGACAGACAGGCAGGCAGGCAGACAGACAGATAGATAGATAGATAAAATATGAGGTCTCCTTGTTGGCTGTTGGGTGCATAGTTTGAGTAATGAAAATTCTCAGTATTGACTACCAATTATGCATTTATAGTTATATTTTCTTGTGTAAAATACACTATCAAGAAATAACATGAATTCCTGTTTAAAACTAGGGAAATATAGTAGTTATGAATTCTATCAACTCAGGGAGAGAAAGAGAATTTGGACTCTGTGTTTCTCACCTTCCATATCTATCAAGAGGTAAGAAAAATTACTCCACACTTTCTCCCCACAACGAATGTGAAAGCTATTTCAGAAGCCATTATTTGTAATAGCAAATCCAACTTAGCCAGTAGTTGGATAAAACCCTCATAGTATCAAAAACTTATTTGCAGAAAGCAGCATCCTGAAGTCTTCTCCATGACAGAGATAAAGAAACCATCTGCCTGTGGTTGAACTCTGGAAGAATCTGGAGTGGCCTTCTACCACCCTCCCTAATCTAAATACACAAACGTTCCATAAAGATTGTGCCACAGCTCATAAGTTCTTGGAATGGTCATTAATGTCTTGTTTATTTCTTCATAATAAGGAAGTATAACAGCACTAATACTTTTTGTGCTGGAACATGTTAAGCAATAGATGGAAATAGCCTATAAAATTTAATAACTCAGAATTATAAAGTAATCTTGGGTAATACACTTATCCTGAGTTAATTGCCTCAGTTTCTTCATTGTGTTTCTATAGCAGTCTTTATGGAATTCCCCATACAAACACACCTTTTCTCAGTTGAGAGGATATGGAACCAAACTCCAATCAGGCATACTGCCATCAATAAAAAATGATTTTTTTAAGAATAAAAAAGAAGTTCCATGAGCTCAGACAAGGTTAGAGACATACACATTTACAGGCTAGGGTAGGACTGTGAGATCGCAAGTTTATGCAGGACTTCAGATCTCAGATACTATAATCCATGGTCCCAAAGACTGTTACCTTGTGTTTGGTCATTGCACCAACAATGAGGGGACAGACCATTCCAGAAAGAGTTCCTACTCCATTGGAGATCCCCATAAGAATGCTGGCATAGCGGGGGGCAATGTCCAGGTGATTGACATTAAAACCTACAGTGGAACCAAAGATCTCAAAATCAGTCCAGAAAAGAATACCAAAGACATTTTAGAAAACACTTACCTCCCCCCAATTTTCATCTATCCACGTGGTTTCTTCAGCTTATGACAAAAGCCTGTCCCTACCAAGAGGGCTGCGATGAGGACTGTCAGACTGTGTCTGCACACAACAGGCACAGTATCTGTGGTTGGTCCTTAATGTTGACCAAGGGTTACCAAGGTCTCTTTGTGGAGACAGTTAGGGCCCTGGGTCTCCAGGTTCAGAACTTCAGAAAATGGTGTTTAGAGCAAAACTGACAAGCCGAAAGCCAAGATCACATTTATTCAGAGTAAACAATCACACAATCACATGCAGTGTGATAAGAAACAAAGTCTGCCTTAGACTATCCTGTCTCTTTCCCAAGAAGCCATCATAAGTAAGCCTGGCCTAGTGACCACATTGCATTTCATATTTTATGATAAACATTTGTACAATCATTGGTAGTCTTCTGTATTGTATGAAATACTTTCACATACATATTTGATTTGGACTATAAATCTGAATTCAAGCCTCATTGTCACCACTTAATTTTTAGGCCTTTGCTTCCTCATCTCTAATATGGGGATAATATTGCTACTTAATTCATAAAGATGCTCAGGTAAGACTCAGGGAACATCTGTGTGTGAGAACCCTTGGCTAATAATAGCTGAGCTCTCCTCACTATTAATTCTCCCACTCCAGCTGCTGCTACTGCTATTGCTGCTAAGAATCTCCCTCTCTTTGAGATCACTAGTCAAAAGATAATGTTGCTGGGGGAGGTAAAATCATATTAATCACCAACATCTGATTATTAATCCATTTGTTAGGACAGAAGAATGAGTGGAATAAAGAAAAAGAAATGAAGGGCAAGACTAAGCAAAAGGAAGATTTTAAGGCCTCCAATGGGGAACCAGTTACCATCATTTCAGGGGTGCAATATGTCAAACCTGTACATTCTAATTAGGATACAAACCTGGATGCAATTTTCTGAACTTCAGCTTCTTCATCTGTATGATGGGATAATCTTATAAAATTGCTGCAAGAATTAAGTTAAATAAAAATATGCAAATGGCCTGGTAGCTCTATGTTCCTTACAATGATTTTCCATCCTATTTACAGCCAGTCAATATCTGTCACATAGTAGGTACCCAATAAAAAATATTTAATTAATTCCAATTTGAGCTATTGATATTATTGCAGAGCAATGTAGGTTTGTTTTTAAATTCATATTTTTGTTTCCCTTTGCTTTTTGTTCTCAATCTATGCAAAGAGCCTGAAAATAGAATTTTTTATAAGATAGTTTTTTCTGGCCTGACAGGTTGTTTTATTCTACCTCCATTCAGGGAGAAATTTGAGGAAGCCTCTTTTGTAATAAACATACCTTCTCTTTCAGATCAGAATGGCAGACAATCAGAATATAAAACAGCTGCAAGATTAATTAAAGTTACTGTTGATTTGAATGAGATAAATACTTTATTAGAAAGGAGCCCAGTGATAAGAAGCAATTAATATGATTGTTGAGCATTATATTCTGATACAAAGCTAGGCATCTGCGTTCAGCTAAAGATAATGCGAGAAAAGTCATTTAGGTTTCTAGCTGCACAATCCTGGTGTTCAGGGGGAAATATTGAGATATTCATAGATTTCTTGTTTTGTTAGCAGATGCAAAAGAAAAGAAAAAGAAATGCACAAAAGCTGGAAAAGCCTGCCTTCTCTATGTAGGACACTTCCTGAGGCCAACCTCACCCATGCTTTTTATCATTCTTATCTCTCCTGTGTCTGTTCTCATCTCTAATCAGATGCTAAATTATGTCCATCTACCCTGGCATCCCTATGAACTCCTTACACAGTTAGCAGCTGACAGATCCTGAGGAATCATCACCCCCACCCCCACAGCCACGTCCCTCCAAGTGTCACTTGGGATCAAACAGATAGTTATTCCAGTTCAGGTCACCAGGCAAGTTAACTTACCTGGGCAAACTAAGTCACTAAGCATCAGTGCAGATAAGGTGGACATAGCAATACCCTTCTCGTAAGGTTGCTATGGGGATTGAGTAAGATCTAAAAATCATGTCTAAAAAGTAGCCAGCAGAATAATTAGGTAATTTAATTTCAGTGAAATCATAGTTTATTGTTTACTATATGCATATTTTTAAGTAGCCTGCATGGGCCAAGAGCTGAGGGGGAAGGCAGAGGCTGTGATTTAGCATATTGGTTTCTTGCCTCTTTGGCCCTGATGGTGGTTTAATTGGCAATCTATGGACAATATGAACCTGAACATTTTAATATCTCTGGGGACAGGATATGAATGTCTTTCATCATAGAGCTATCAAGGGAAGGTGTTCCTCAGCATCCCACTGGAAATAAGTCATGACTGCTCTATCCTGCTACTCAAAACAGTATGGAAGAGCTGGCTCAGCCTCGCTGAGGGGCTTGTAAGAAATGCAGCCTCTCAAGCCAACTCTGGCCCTGGTGAGTCATCGCTGTCTTTGCAAGTTGATTTGTATGCACATTAATTGCACTGGACTAAGTGTTTTAAATGCTTTCTTTTCGTTGGAATGTAAACATCAAGAGGACAGAACCTTTTCCTTTTTTCCCTGCAGCATCCCAAGCCAAGAGTAGTGCCTCCTTCATGTAAGCAGGAGTCAACACAGTTCATGGCTGTCTCCCAACCGCGTGCTACGACCACCTTCCAGCTCTCTAATCTCTAGAGGAGCAAATGGGACTTAAGAATTTAAATAATTTAGCTCATTTTTTCCCATCCGTAAAGAGTAAATAGTAAACACGTGTCTGATACCCACTTCTTGGCATCTCCAAGCCTAAGTCCTCATCTGCAAGTTACTATTAAAACAGACATTTTTTCTTAATTTATTCATCAGCTCTGCTTCTCTTGATAACACCAAACCGCTATTTCAGAGTGATTTAGAGAACTACCAAAGCCCCATATTTCTCTACTCTGGGGCCTCACCATACAGACCGTCCAGACAGCCGACATGGTGGGAAGGATGCAGACTCAAGCCAGGCAGATCACATCTTAGTTCTTTTACCATCAACTGTGTGACCAGTTTTTGCTGACTTTCGGATTCTTCACCATAAAAACAGTGACATTACCCCTTGCTTCATGACACAGTAGCAGAGAGGCCAGGAATGTAAACTGTTCTGTAGGAGAGGCTTTTTAAGATTACAGTATGTTCAAAAGATAGATAAACAACTAAGGTTCACTTTTTCTTACAATTTGCCTCAGTAGCAAGTAAAGTCTGGGAGTTTGATTGGACAGTGCTCCTTTTGCATGTGGTGATCTGGTTCCTGTGCCTCTAAGTCGGGGATACTGACACCACTGATACCCACCAGGCAGCTGTGAGAGGAACAAGGGGTAACAACCAGGCTGGACTTTGAACAGCCGCTGGCCCCCAGTCTGTACGAGATCATCAACTCCCACCGTCATCACCGTCTTCGTCACTACCTGCTTTCAGAACATCACTTCCCTCTCTGGCCCTGCATTTCCTTATTTGGAAGGTGAACATGGTAGAGTATATAACACTTAAAGAAATTCTCCACGCCGAACAAGCAAACAAAAACCCCTATTCTTTGTGAAATGAACTACATCACTGGACTTCTGAGCTGACCTTCTCTAGCAGGAGGTAGCACTGAATAGCACAGGCAGGGTGACCTGGGGCTAAAGTCTAACAGTCCACTTCACCCAGTAGACAAACTGGGGCTTCATCTCCTGCCAGAGGGTCACCTGCCCTTTGTGTCTTTTTCCAAGATGGAGAAACTAAGCACAATGCCAGCTTGGGCTCCTAAGCCCCAAGCTCGGTGATCTCACACAGTCACCTGTACTCACTGAAAATCGTAGCCAGGGGCCTGCCCCTTGGAAACAGCCTGTGTCCTAAAGGTAGGTGCTACAGAATCCTTCACTGCCCCCTCAACTGCCAGACCTGCTGGACCTTAAAGAAGATCTGGAAACGAAAAGGACACTTACCTGAAATAGCAAAGCCACTAAACCCTACAGCAAGCACAAGGAATGAGATGGCCACCCCCTTGGTGTGGGAAAAGCCGACCACCAGCAGTAAGGTTGCCTCCATGCCAAAACCTGAAAAGGAACACAGTCGGAGGGAGAGGGTAGAGACGTCACCATCATATCAGTTAAGCTCAATTTCCTAAATTCATCAAATGTGAATCTATTAGTATTTCCACAGATCTAAGTTGCATATGTACGTTCTAGCACAATGCTAGTGACATTCCCCAAGTCTCACCCTACATGACTTTGTGGTTATTACCCAGGCAGTCTTTGTGCTTCCAGTGTCCCCCTAACATCACTCTGGTGTCCCCTGAACAAGGAGTGATTCCAGTAGGTCTTGATGATGCCCCTGGGATGAGGGATGTTTAATATCTGCTGATTCATGGGTGAGCTGGCCCTGCCAGCTGAAACACTAAAACTCTCCTATACGGTGTCAATGCATTCCCTTTGATTATGTGAGTTCTGAGGCCTCCCTAGTGGTACAAGGGGTTAAGTCACACCACTGTGAAGCTATCCACAGCCACTGCAGCATGAGTTCAATCCCTGGTCAGGGAGGTGACCCCATGGTGCAGCAGACCTCTCCTGTCTCACCTGCTGCTCCATTCAGCAGTGTGTTTCAGTACATCTGCCTCTTCTGCTCCCCACTCTGTCTCTGGTCAATCCTCTCACCCTCTCCCCCAAACACCTCTGGACTATACCCCAAATCTTATATACATAAATAAATAAATCATCATGTAAGTTCTGGCCTCTCCCATAAAAGTGAGGTGACCATGCCTAATATTGACTGTCAGTATCGGAAGCTAAAAGCAGCACCATACCCCTTGAGAAGCCTGAGGCAAAACTCTTCCCTTCCAGAACTTTACCAAGCTCTCTGGCCTCTTTCTGAAAGCTACAAGCTATTTGTACAGAAAGTACAGCAGGACAAAAATACTTTCTGTTCCTTTCATTCAGAATAAGTGAACAAAACACAATAAAAATAAAAGGACAAGGAAATTATAAAGTGTGGTTTCTCATCAACACACACACAAAGTTCAGTCAACAGCAGACTGAGAGATGACAGAAATATCGCATCCAATATATGATGTGCCCTGGGCTGGGATCTTTGAGGAGGGGTCATGTATGGCTACTTTGTTCTGAAGTCTGCTGATTCCAGACATCTCCACACCGATGTCCTAGAGTTACCCCAAAGACAACATGCCCAAATCAAGTGTCTCTTCCCTTAATTTTTATTTCTAAACAAAACAAACCTCCACCTCATGCTCTTTTCTCTAAAGCAGTCTTCTAGTCATCTGTTTTTAGGACCCACACTGATTGGTCAAGCCTCTTCATACTTAGATTCCTCACCCTAAGAAAATGAAGATAATAAAGCAACTTTGTAGGCCAGGGGAAGAGCAAATGAAATAGAACATATGAAGTATTATTGAGCACAGTCACTGATAAGGCACAGCTCAACAAACTGTCATCAAAAGCCCAAGCCAGAAACTTTAGGATCAGGTTTCACACAAGAACTGATGACCCCTGCTTTCCCCTCCTCTGTGAGCATCTTAGGTCTGGTCCATCACCTCTCAGCTGCACACACTCAGTCGCCCCTCCAGTGGCTTCCCCACCTATGCTTCCTCTGATCCCTTCTCTGCATCAGTCTCTTTCTAACCTACAGTTGGCTGAAAAATTTGAGTCAAGGTTCCATGTGGTTATCACTGAACATTATTTGGCAATGCCTCCTGCCTTTCCTGCTTCACCACTGCCAAACCTCAGCTTCCTGCTCACCAGCCTGAGTCCGTGCAGAGCTCTGAGCTAGAGTCACACCGCCTATCAGTCCTGTCTTGACTAATCACAGCATTGTTTCATGACTGATGTATTTTTACAGACTGTTCCTTCACCAGCTATACTTTTCTCCCACCACTAATTTCCCTTTTTATGGAGAAAACTTACTGTCCTGAACAGTCCAATTCAAACCTTGCTCCCTCTAGGAAGCTTGCCTCACCGTCATGCGCCTTCCCTACCAGGGAAAATGCCTTCTTCTTTCTTGTTTTATAGAACTGATGAATATAGATTTATTTATTTATGCATACAAGAACTGGGGTATAGCCAGAGGTGCAGCAGGGACAGTGAGAGGCTTCACCAAAGACAGAGTGGGGAGCAGAACAGGCAGATCAACTGCAATACACTGCTGGGGACAGCAGTGGGCAAGTCAGGAGAGGTCTGCTGTGCCATGTGGGTCACCTCCCTAGTTGGAGATAGGACTCATGCTGCAGTGGCTTTGGATAGCTTCATCATGCTGTGCTTTAACCCATTGTGCCACCAAGGAGTTCCCAAAAATCTTTTTTTTTTTTAAACCCAAGTCTGGTTACCTTCACAAGGTTTTCATGATCTGATCCCAGTGGAGCTTCCTTGCACTCTCCATGCAACTCCATCCAACTCACCAAGCTCCAGTCAGCTGCCATTCCCTCCTTCTGTTCTCTAACATGCCACATTCACGCCTGCCCCAAGATCACTGCGCATGCTATTCCCTCTTCCTAAAACACTTTTCTGTAAGAGCTGTAATAAACTAGTGTGTGATAAGATGCCAACCATGTATATGGCTAGAAAGAAGCAATCGCTGGAAGCAGATACAGCTTCCCAAGAGGAAAGAAGACTTGAGATGATGTGGAAGGATACAGAGAGAAAGCTGGGGTGAAAAGTGAAGGTGAATATAATTCACTTAAAGACATTTCAAAGTCAAAGATAGAAAAATATGATATGTGGACAAAGCTCTACTAGAAAATCTTTTCTTACACTTTCCAGTGTCTAGAGTCTGCCTGCATTCTTTGGATTATGGCCACGTCAGTCTGCCCAGCCCTCTATCTTTTCATGTACTGCTCTGACTCTGACCCTTCTGCTCCTCTTATAAGTAGACATGTGTTTACACTTCCCCCAGATAGCCCAAGAAAATCTCCCCATGCCAAAGCATTAATTTAATCATATCTGTAAAGTGTCTTTTTCCATGTAGAGAAACAATGACAGGACTGAATATCCCTGCCTGGGACCAGCAGTCACACTGTAGGGAGACCAGATGCTGACAGACCAGATACTCTCCAATTAGACTTTATTCCTGAGATGAGGTTGGGTCAAATCATGCCTGTTCTTGTGTCCCGCCAGATAATGGTCACTTCTAAATGGCCAAGAGCCATCTTAGCTAGAGTCACAGTCTACCCCCCACCCCCAACCATTCCCTCCTTTCAATTTAGACTCCCAATTGTGGGCTTTTGCCCACAGATGGCGCTGTCTCTATTTCCCATCTGCCCATCTAACTTCCAGCCCCTGGAGAGGTAGCAGTAGTGACATATGGGCATTGCAATAAGCTCAGGCAGGCCTGGGATCTTGCACGGATCTACCAGTTGAGTAATCCTTTTACTTTACCCATCTCCTCATTGTATATAGGATTTAATAATAGCACTTACTTTTATAAGAACGGATTAAATAAGGATTAAATAAGATCATGGATGCAAAAGACAGCTTAGTGTCTGGCACAGAAAGCATTCAATAAATAAATGCTAATTTTAAAAGCAAAACAAAAGAGATGAGAAAACAGAGGGCTTGCTGCTTATTTTTAAAAAGAGCTATGATGAAGACTGATGGGCTCCTGATTACTTACACCTAGCCTTTGAGAAATCATCCACTTTTCACTTTGTCTCTGTAAAATCAAAACATAAAGCAGGAACTTAATAAAACAGGAAAGAGGATAAAGTGTGTGCGTGTGTGTGTGTGTGTGTGTGTGTGTACATCAGTACATCTGGGAGCAAAGAAGACTATCCAGAGAAAAGACTTTCCTTATGCTTCTTACTAAAACATGTCTATATACAAAAGGGAAGAAGGACATAAACGAATAAATTGTACAACCAAAGGATTATATATGTGGGAGGATGGCCAGGAAGGGCAAACAGCCAACAGATGTGTAGAGGAAACCAGGTTCTTCGGCTGAAGGGCGGGTGGAAGAGCATTTCTGCAGGTGCAGATGTGCATTTGTTTGTCCCCAAAGGTGTCCCAGTGCAGGCTGCATGCCTGCTGGGCAGGGGTTTGATGGACACTCGAGACCCTGCTGGGGGATGGACCTTTTGCAATTATTAGACAAAAACCCCAAAATAGGGTCTGCCGTTGAATTCCATCTCATTCTTTTAAAGCCACCAACACCCCCTCCCATGAAACCCACAGTACCTCCACAGTTCATGATTTTCCTGACGGCAGTTGTAGTCAAAATTTTTCTGCTTCTTAAATAATCAGCCAATTGCCCTCCAATAGGCACTATGAGAGTCATCACCATGTGTGGGACTGCAGACAAGAGGCCCACCTGGAATGAAATGAAGCCATGAGCTGATTTTAAGTACTGTAGGAGAGATGAACTTCCTTAATTCCCAGCCCTCTCCAGTTCCCCTTTACCCCATTAAGCACACTGATCTAAAAATGGCACCAACATAGGTTAGAGTTTTATAATAAACAAGCAATGAATGATTGCAAGCATAGACTTGTCCTTCTTCCACCAGGGTAGAAGCTCCTTGAAGGCAGAAGTGGCATTTGCTCATCACAGCATAGCACTGCCTGTGTCCGGTAAGCATTGGCTCTAGCTCGCGGCAGCCTCTATGAGCTGACTCTGCCAGCTCTCCATGGTCACTTCAGTAACCTCCAGTACATGGAGCTCTGCAGACATCAGCTCCTACCAGGCTTCTGCTCTTTCCTTCGTAAGAAAGAGGCTTAATTCTTTGATGAAGATGGTGTATGGTTCATCATGCATACCCTTCCTCTTTGAAATGCAGACACTTAAAGACAATGGCTGAGGGTCAAACGAGGCTCTTTCCAAACCACACATGTCAATGCTCTTGGTTGCTGTCATCACCAGGATGGAGAGAGCAGACCTTGAAGGCTCTTACTACTGCTCACTGAGTAATTTATAGAAAAAAATAAAATCCTTGCCTAACATGCCGTCCTTGGGTTATTTCAAAAACACTTGGGTAGAATATAAATCTATAAAACATCTTCATACAACTCTGATCCTTATAAGAAGAAATAAGAGTTATGTATATTCTGCACAGAATGCATAATGTGTCTGATCTTAAGGCACTGGGCAAAGAACTGTTATGAAATATGCACACCACTTTAATCATTTTATCATGCCAAGATTTTCTCCATGAAAACAAGAGATTAAAAGCTCAAGAACAACAGAAGCATCTGTGTTTACCTTACTTATTGCAAATCCAAAGACCTCTTCAAAATAAGCAGGCTGACTTATTAACAGCAAATAAAAGGTCCAGCTTCTGCAAAAATTGGCCACAATGATTGCATAGACTGGCAATGATGTAAAAAATCTTTTCCATGGTGTATTAAATTTCTAGAGTAAAAATGCCATGAGATGTGTTAGTGGATATATTAGCCAACTTATTTTTCTTAAGAGTATAACACAGTCATTGAGATAAATACTTATAGAAAAGAGCCAAGTCTTCATCTATTGCTTTCTACTTACACTTAGACTGACCACGTTGGCTCCTTCTCCTATGCTTGTCTCGATGTAGGTTCTTTCCTCATTAGATATTGTTGGGTGTGCTGCAGGGCACTCATAGGCCTGCACCAACCAAAACATGTACCAAACAATTCCAAACATACCTGCAGTTACAAAACAAACAAGCAAACAAAAACCTAAGTCTTTTGATGAAGATTAAACAAATGAATGCACATCATTTTATCAAAAAACAAAACTTGATGATATGGTCTTATTTTCTTCTCTGAATTTTTCCACTCTCCACATATTCCCAACATATTCTCCTGTCACTATGTTCAACCAGGAGAAAGTATTTTGCTGATTTTACTTGTTGATTTTATTAACTGGCACTTAAAGAAAGATGAAGAGACTGAATTTTAATAGAAATGTTAAAGGAATCCAAGGTAGACAAGTGGCCCATTTATATGATCGATTTGAATGAGTAATCTCTACTTGCCAATAGTACATTCTTGGCTGGCCCCGTTATACCATAAAATACCCTCTCTATGACTCATCCTTGGGAATCCACAAAGTCAAGTAACTCACCATAAATATAAAACACAGAGGCCCAACCGATGTACTGAACCAACACCCCAGCTAGGGGCATGGCAATCACCGCCCCTGCGTAGGAACCTGGAAGAAGAAAAGATTGAGGGAAACTTGTCAATCATTATACAAGCCCTGCAGCCTACTTAGGTTTTATGAGGTCAAGCTGAAGGCAAATCAGGCTGAACAGAATTCACAATGCTTCCGGGCGGACAGGCCAACTCCCAGAGGTGTACTGTAAAACGGAGCTATTAGCACAGTAAGATCACCAGGAAGCCCTTTAACTTCACCCAGGTACTAGGCAAAGGCTGATCAGATGTTATGCTTTAGCATTACAGGAGAAGGTGGAACCAGAGGGTGAGAGAAATTTGCAAAGTTCAACCACAGACAAAACTGGGTGATTTGGACAATAAGCAAAGGAGCAAGTGGAAGGTGCTTTCCCAGCTTACAGTGGAGAAGGCTTATCGCTTAGGTTTTTCAATGCAGGACAGCAAACTATTAACAAGATCAAACTCTTTATAATCTTATTTTTTCAGGAAAGAGCTCCATTCCTGTAGGACAGGGTGACCATACGACTCCTGTCTGCATCCACCTCTTACCTGGGTGTGGTTTTTTGTTTGTTTTTTTTTTAAAGATTTATTTATTTATTCAGACAGAACTGGGGTACAGGCCAGAGATGCGGAGGGTGAGAGGATTCACCAGAGACAGAGCGGGGAGCAGAACAGGCAGACCGACGAAGCACACTGCTGAGGGGAGCAGCGGGCGGGTCAGGAGAGGTCTGTCACGCCATGTGGCCACCTCCGGGGCAGGCGGGAATCGAACTCATGCGGAAGTGGCCTTAGCTTCTCAGTGCAGTGCTTTAACACGCTGCACCACCAGGGAGGGCCACCTCGGTGTGTTCTTAAGCCACTTTCTTACTCTGTAAATACTTAGCCAAGTGTGGATGTTTATCCTATGTTGACAAGAGTGAGGGTTAGAGGCGTGATCTGGACAACCTCCTGCAGCTTCTTGACATCTGGTGGCATAATGCAAGCTCTAGGAACTCCCTGTTAATATCAACTGCATCAAAAATTACCCCATGAAAATCCCCCTGAGCCATGAGTGGGTCCTTTCCTCCAGAAAAGGTGAGCAACAAAAGGAAATTCTGTGTCCCAGAATACGATGGTATGGAAGCCCTTCCAGAACTGGGAGCTTGAGGGGAGAGCGTGATTAAATCCCTTCTTTCCAAGTTGACTCTGAACAGATGTTATGGAACAATGTGCAGTGGAGTGGTGGGGATACCCAGGATAGGGAAGGTCCCGAATAACCACTAACAAATGAGATGCACTGAGTTCTTCCTATGTGCCAGTAGGTGCAGAGGACTGTGGAGTTGTGACTTTAACCCTCTTCAACATGATGACATAGGTATCAGTATTATCCCTAGTTTACATCAGCCCCAAGGCTGGGAGGCAGGGGTGAGGAGCAGAAGAAACAAGCAAACTGAGGTCACACTGGAGTGAGTGACAGGGACCCAGGTCTACACGAACCCACGCCTTTCTCCTCACTATTTAATAATCGAGTCTTGCTTTCTTCCTCACTCATAAACATCCAATAATTCCTCAACGTAAGAAGCTTTCTTTCATGGAGAAAATTTTACAACTGGATTTTGACTGCCTTTCTTGCCTGTTAGTCTCCTCCAGCTGCCCAGTGCAGTCTCCTATCACACCCACAGCCCTGAGCAAGTCCCAAGAGGGCACTTGGCCTGCAGGACCATGTCCCTCCTGAACTGTATAAGCCGGACAAGGTGCGCCTCCAGGATTTGGGGGGGTAACAGACAGCTGAATGATGATGGGGAAGTCCCAGGTCTGTCCTGAAAATCCATGAGAATTAAGATCCTTTTTCCTACCTGAACTTCTATTTTCTCCACTGTACACAATGGGTGTAGCTAGCTGTTCTTAAAGTCCCTTCCACCTCCAACATTTTTTTTGCATGTAAGAACTGATTAGCCTCAACCTGGGATTCCTTCTAATGACTTTTTCATTTGGCTGCCCTTTGAAAACCAAGGCCACACCTTCACTGAGAAACATAATAAAGCCTTTGACCTTGAAGAGGGAACTTCCCCTGAGAATCACACCATTTCTTAAATCAGCCTTTCAGAGCTATAAAAAAAAGTAGGAATGGGGAGTGGTTGCTAGTTACTCTTATTTTGCTGGCAAATCAAAAATTATAGAAAGGCCTTATAAATAGACCATCCAAAGAAAATAAGGTCAAGGATGTGACAGTTCAAAAGGTTGGCAGGGGGTAGAACCATCTCCAGTTGGTATAAGGTCAGTGGTAGGAGTGAAGATGATCTTGAACTGCAAACCAGAGGTCAAAAATGACTTCTAAGGACAAGAGGCTAGAAAGAAAAACACATCTCAATGTGTGCGTGCAATGCCAAGCTAGGCCCAGAACAGTCACCTTAGTGAATATTTCCAAATTCCCAGGGGTTCGGTTTTATTACTTACAAAGTCGTAAAAGGGAGGGGAGGAAGAAATAAGAAATATTTACAGAATGAAAGAAGAAGGTTTATTTCTCCTTTAGCAAAAAAGTTCCGACAAGCTGCTCTTAGGAAAAGTACGTTACCTTGAAAATTTAGACAGACCAAAATTCTGATGCTGCTTGTACCCCATTGTTTTCCCTGGACTAAGGCACGTTGCCTTCCTGTACTTCTTGTCCCTCCAAAATGTTTATGAATATATTTTGTGACTGTGTTGATGGAGGCACCAGGTGCTGCTCTGGTCCAGCTGTTGACAGAAGCCAGCTAGACCCTTGGGAACACTGACTTATGCAGGTTTCACAGGCAAGGCTTGGAGTAAGGCAACCTTGATTCCAGGTAAGAGGGATGGAATCCATTTTATCTAAAATGCATTGGTAAAAATTAATTTAAAATCCTGTGATGATAATGTGTACAAAGCAGTGTGTCACCAGGAAAGTTATGAATCAAGAATTAGGTGGTCTGGGTCTAGCTCCATGACTGAGCAACTATGTGACCTTGGGCAAATCACTGGACTTCAGTTTTTTTCAATAAAACTGAACTTTAAACTTTAGTTTCAGTGTCTCCATCTGCAAAATGAAGTGGCGGGGTTTATGGGGGCAAGGGTGCGTGTAGAGGTGTGATGAAGTTGTTTGTCTCTTCCATATTCAACCATGTTAAATTTCAATTGTTGGCTAATCCCACAACCACTTCCATTCTCTTCTCATAGTTCTCTGTTAAAGATACTGGAAAAGCTAAGCATAGCTTCCCCAGCCTCCTCTGCAGTTAGTAAACTTATGATTCAATTAGGAGTAGAAGACTGTTAGAGTTTAGGGAAAGCTTTTCCTTTCCCCAAGAAAGGAACAGATGTAGCTAAGACACTCATCCCCACTTTTTCCTTCCTTGAATAGGAATTCAATGTCGGGAGCTGTGGCAGCCTTCTTGTGACCCTGAGGAACAAGCAAGAGAGTAAAAAGCTATCCCTCAGAGGATAGCAGAGTAGCAATTTGGAATATGCATAGACTCTGGATGGATCATTAAACTTTGGAACCAACCATGACTCACCTTTGCACATCTGTTCTACAAAAAAATATAGATCTGTTCAGTGGGCTTTCAGTTCCTTGAAGCCAAAAACATTGCTAAATAAAACTTGCTGTGATTCTAGTACACATACCACAAAAAGAGGTCGTAGCCAGACGACTTCTCTCCAAGGGTGGTGCCCACTTACTCCACATCCCGTGGCAGGCTGGGTAGGTCACACCCTGGCAAAAAAGTTAAAGATCAGTTATTGGGTGTGACTCTAATTTCTGTTTAAAACATGGATCCTGTTTCTTTAGCACAGACCACAACATAAAAGTCCACTCAATAGCACGTGTCAGATATTTTCACTCCCAGCACAGATGGTGAAACATGAATAGCGCTCCAGTTCAAAATCAATAGGCAACTGTAAATCAGAGACATTCTTCAGGAGGGGAGGAGGAAACTGGGTCAATCTGAAAATACAATGGAGAGTGGGGAGAAGGGGTCCTTTATATTTAATATTGCTATAAGATATCCATGTATAAAAGCTGGTTCCAAATTGACTAGTCTGCCCTTTCATTTCCAGACACAGAACCTAAGTTTCAGAGTCACCAACTGACCAGACCGTGTCATTCCACTATATCAGCATTTTCCAAAGTATAGTTCATGTGGGACCACAGGAGGATCTGAAAGGCCACATCAATTTCACTTTTAAATACAGTTATCACATATATAGTCTCACACGCTTTAGAAAAAAATATGAGCATATCAAACCCATGATTCCAAACTTTGTTGCTGAGGATAAAATACCTTTGACTTTCATCTATTTTTTAAGTGCATTGATAAAAAGAAAAGCAGTCCCTAAGAAAGAGCACAGAATGTACATGGATGTGACAGATGTGATGAAGGTGAGAGAATGACTGAGTTTAGGAAACACGGCTGTGCATCAGGGCTGGCAAACCATTCATTTTATTTTATTTTTTACATGTGAGCCCAGAATGGTTTTTACATTTTGAAGGGCTGAGGAAAAAAATGGAAAGAATAATAATATTTCATGGCATGGTAAAACCCCAACAAATTCAAATGTCAATTTCCATTAAAGCCTTCTTGGCATGCAGCCATGTCCATGGCCTCATAGATCATCTCTGGGTGCCTTTGCCCAAGACAGCAGAGCTGAGTCTGCAGAGAGCCTGGGCCAGCAAAATCCAAAGCATTTTACCTCTGGCTCAAGACCAGCTGCCCACCTCGTGGAGGGAAAGCTCTGTAAGACTACAGAAAAGCGTAGCCTGGCGAGGTACAGAAGTATTAATATGCCTTTTGGAATTGTTTTAGGGCAAAAGCCCACTGCTAAGGTGAAGTGTGTGTGGGGCGGGGGGGGATTTCCATTGTATCACCATATTCCATGAAGAGTTGGATCAGATTATCTCTAAATGCACTCCTCACTTCTGAAATTCCACGGTCTATGACACAGTCCTTTATTGTATATGAAACTGGAATTCCCCAGGAATGTGATGAAAGTATTCCTAATTGTAGCCATATACCAGAGAGTTGAGCTAGTGGGATAAGGTGGAAAATCGAGTAGAGAGAGTTTTTCTTCTCAAGTTGAACTTTCTCAAGAACCACGTTTGTTTCTCCAACAAGTGCCCTACCTCCACAAGCCCCTGCAAGATCCTGACACACATGACGCAGCCGTAATGCACTCTAGCGGCCGAGGGGATGAACATGTTCAAAGTCGACGTTAAGAAGATGGCAGCTCCAAAGACCCTGAGGGAGAAGAACACTGTGTCTTAGGAGTAGACATGGCCTTCAGTTAAACATCAGAAATAAACCTAAAAGTTCATGGATGATTACTGGGGAAATTAAGAGAAGAGGATGAGGGCGCACAGCACGATGAAGCTATGGCAGCAAGAGTTCAATCCCCAGCCAGGGAGGTGACCCACATGGCACAGCAGACCTCTCCTGTCTCCCCCACTGCTCCCTCAGCAGTGATTTCAGTCCAACCACCTGTATGCTTCCCGTTCTGTCTCTAGTGAATCCTCTCTTTGCCACCCCCC